ATGATAGCTCTCAGACAGCTTCGGTTGACAGGGGTCATTATTGCGAAATATTTGCAAGGACATGCTCATATATGCCCCTACAGTGCAGGTCGGACGGCATCTACCATAACCTATTATGAAATCCTTCCAAGTGGTCCTACGAAAAAATCAAGAGAAGTATGAAAATTCCGATCAAAACTTTTAACTCAACCTAATATCAACAACATCAAACGCTTTCCTTAAGCTCTCCCTTTATTTGCAAATTTAGAAACTCGGACGAGGTGTTTCCCATGAGCTGTCTCCTACCAACAAAACATTGGGCTAATCAGGAAGAGCATACAGGCCGGACACGGAACCATAATTACACCAAGGAAAGACACATCATTTCTTTTGGTGGCCCATGCGAACGATGGAGTACTGACGACTCCTGATCGAGAGGCAAGTTTTTAGCACCCGATGAACCCTCCCAGCTTGCTTTGGAGTTGACCCCCACCCAGAAGGCTATTTTCGTCTATTCTTCTGAAGCCTCATACTCATTTCGACCGTGGGTAGTAGCTGCAAATCGGCTTCCAGCACGACACAACTAGATTACAAACGGTGCAGTTGATAAGGAACAAGCTAGAAAGCTATGATCAGTTGAGAACCCTTGGGATCGAAGACTGTTCAAGCTTAAACATCGAGTGATAGCTGGAAACTCTGTTTACCTTTTATATGTCTGTTCACTATGAAGTATTTGTCACAATATTTGCCGCACTAAAACAACTACAATAGACTCAGCGATGATCTGATGTTGAAGAAAACGTAAAACACCTGTAGACATTTTGACACATCTCCTCTGGCCAGTCCGAAAAGTAGGTATCATCACAAGAAAACGGAAGAGGCACCGATGCAAGTGGAGTATGGGTATCATCAATTAGAAACGATTGAGGAGGTCCAAGCTAGAAACATTTCCGAATTACTTTTCTGATCGGAGTGCGATGCAACGTGCAACATACTGAAGGATCTGCGAAGTCGGTGTCGTATGAGGAATCGTTGATGGCAGGATTCGGCCGATCTGCGTAGACATGGATATTTCCTAGAAAGAATGAGTAATTCATGGAAAGATAATGGTCACTGAATAAGTAAATGGTGATTTGAACTTTGATTCCCGAGGAATCTCAACAGTGCAAAGAATGAGGAGTGCGGTGCCCGTAATAAATCTTAATGAATTGGCAGAAGGTCAGGGGAAGCGGGGTCTCGGTAGTGAAAGGGGTAATGGTGCCTGAAAAGCAGAAAAGTGGGTTAGACTTCAATCCGTGGCCAAAGTTTTGCTCACAACTTGCCATCCCAGTTATAGGTTAGCGAACAGTTTGATCAGTAGATTTGCACATCGACATACTCCAAGGGCAGGGGCGGTCAATGTTTACGGCCCAATGCTATAACCAAGGACTAATCTAATGGTAAGGATCATGCACCAATATGGGCTGCAGTGGAGGATTGAGCAGAAGTACTGGAATATCGTATGTTACCTCCGTTAATATGCTTCGTTAGCAAGAGAATCAAGTCTAATGACCATGAAAATAACTTCACGTAGAGCTCTTACCAATCTCGTCACCAAAGGCAAGGTACTGCTTGGTCGTTGAAAAATCAAAGGCAGTCAAATGATATCCACCAGAATCAATGATCACTGGAACTCCAGCATTCCTCTCGTTTAAAAACATCATTTGAGCCTGCCCATTCTGAAAAATATCTTCGATGCGGGTACAGAATTTTGACAGGAAAATTAAAAGAAATCCTGACTGACCTGACCAACACTGAACACACGAGAATCACAAAATGTAGGAAGGGTGAGAAATCTGGAGAACAAAGGAGCAAAGGAAAGCGGTATTGGTGGGAGAGCAGAAAAGTTTCTCAGATCGTACACCTTCACATAGGGATCGCCATGCGGTACTCCGAGTCTAAATACTGTGTATTCGACTTCGAATGCAACACAACAATCCATAAAAAGGTATTGTCTAGGGACGGAAGGCCCGCGTCACCAGAGCCAGTGAGTCTTTTTTGGAGAAACAACATTGAACCAGTCGATGCGCACTAGTTAGAAGGGGAAAATTTGAAAAATGGCAAAAGCTCTGCGCATCATCAAAACTACCATTTCCACCAGAACTGGAACTGAACTTTGTCTAAAATTTCGCAAGAGAAGTTGAAGGTTTTCATAAGTTCAAGGGTAAGTAAATAAACTTAAAAATTGCTACAACATACCTCATAGAACACCCCGATGTTATCAATTTCGTCCCGTTGACGTCGAAATCCGTGATCGCTCCACCATGCGCTGAAATCACTCGAATCGTGTCCATCGTCCCTAGTGCTCGAAGAGTGATCTGTATTGTTTGTAGAAGGACGAGTATGAGAGTTTGAAATTCAAAAACTTACATACCTTTCCCTCTGTGTCTGCAGTGAACAGTTGAGTTCCATTCAATCTAATGAGATTAGCGTTCTTCTCCTTGATATTAGCCTTGAACCTTATTGATTACCCTCAATTGTAGCGATTAGGCAATGAAAAGGTTGAGTGGGCATACCACACGCAGTTCTTTTTGCTTTTCTAGATCGAACTGAATAAGCTTCCTCTGATCACCTCCCATGAACAAGGACGACGTGCCAGGCAATAGACGCATAGAATTTAAGCTCTGCATTGACTGAGAGCTGAAGTAATGAAGTGAGTAAAGTACCCGAAAACTTAATTAGGAGAATTTCCTATTTAATAATCACCCGAACGAGAACGCAACGAGGCCATGACGTGTATTTGCTTTGAGTTCACTGGCGGATAATGAAAGTATCACCATCTCAGTTGCGTTCATATCCCGAATATCCCCTCTTGTTGCACAGACAGCAGTGTATCTTTCAAACGATGGTGCATAATAAGAGGCTATCCGTCCCTGAAAATCAAAACGTCCTGATCAATTAATTTTAGCACAAGCCTGCGGTACAGAATTTGTTTATTTCTCACAAAATATGCATACTAAGGAATAAAATATCTCAATTGATTTCTTTAAGTAAGCATATGGCAACATTCCTTTTCCAGACGACCTTTCTTACAATTGGATGAGATTATGAGATCTCTGTGAAAGGGATACAGTGAATAAAATAGCAGCATCTATCTGTGTGGCAGGGCGGCGGCCTGTTGGCGCTATTCGTAGTAAAACGCTCTAGATTTTCTAAAGGTTTTTCCTATATTCGAGCCAGCGTTGCCTTCCTTACCTCATGGTAAAAAATTTTAAGGCACGTAGCACCCTCGAAACCAAAGAAGAAAAAAGCACGGGAGCTTTTTCTAAATATATTTTGAGTATTAGTTGCAAAACTTGTTCAACCAAAAAAGCATAATAACCAAAGCGAAGAAAGGACTGCTGAAAACAACGTCTTACATGACAATTGCCAAACCATAGTAGTTCCTCGTACGGATCGAAACAAAGGGCAGTAACCGGAGCTGGAGTTAGAGCATTCGTCTCGATTGTAGATGCATAGACAAACGATCCGTTCCCCTGTAGCCACTAGAACCCAAACGAAGATACAACTAGATCCATCAACTCTACANTACATTACTAATATGTCATAAAGTACCTCGTCGGTCGATCCAGCGCCGACGAGGGCAGAGTTTTCCATTCCAGATGATCCTTTAGTTTCAATGACCTCGCGTCAGCTGATCATCGAAACCTGAATAAGGCAACCTTTAAAGTCCACTCCATTCCTTCTTAATTAATCAAACTACCTGGATATAGTCCAGGAGCTGGGAGTAGTCATTCAGCGTTGGAATACTCTGCCTACAAACCAAGATGCGTTAGGAGCTATTCCAGCAAAGTTCGGAACAGTAAAGAGGTCAACGAGAGGTTATTCAGGGACAGATAGCAAATCACTAATTGAGAGTTCCGACGAAGCAAATCACACGTTGTGGCACTGAACATCGAACTGCTAGACGTACTGCTTAGATTACTGGGAATGTTTTAGCAACCACTGGAATGTAACCAAAATAAAATGGCATGAAGTTGAGAGAACAACTCCAACCAGGAACAGTTTAAAAGCGAAAAACACGATGACAACCCTTGAAAGATCTTTCTTCAAAGTGACCGCAAAAGAGCAATCCATCTCCCTTCCCCAAAGAATGTCAGGAAGGGATCGCGGATCAGATCCAACCAATGGGAACTCAAAAACAGCTCAACCGCGACAATAAGGAACAGGTTCCAGCAAGAACAAACTTGTCCGAAACCGAGGACTTCTCAAAGCCGCAGATCGATCGACTTTAAAAGATCTTAAAGCCGATCAATAAGAAGTGAGACGGCAGTAGTAAAACACTGTAATTGCTAAAAAAATGAGTCTTTTCTAATGAAGATTAAAGGGGTGATGAACACTTCATTACTCCTTTTTTTAAGAAATGAAGCCGAATAATCTGAAAAGAGGAAGCACTTCTTCATAGGTACCTACCAATTTTTAATGTTGTTCACCGATTTTTCTTCTGATGCGGTTTATAACGAAAGGCTTTATTATGCAGTCCTCAACTACAGGCATAATTATGATTTCCTGATCTCGTAAGGTCGCAGAGACTTTGGATTTGCGTACTACGACGAAACAACAGCAACTAACAATACAAAACATCAAGTCAAAACAGATTTCCTGAATATTTTTGGAATTTTAATAGCCCGGTTAAGATCACCTTTACGGCAGTTTCCCATAAAAAAACACCATGCATACCCAAGCTTCCCCTCTCGCAAGTTCTGTCAAGGAGAGCGAAATTTAACTCCTCTTGCAAGTATGACTGACAAACTAGGAATTTTCTGCAATTAATCACAACCCGTAGTAAGTGCCCATTCTAGGCTACAGCACTTCTAATTCGATTTGACGAATGAATGTGATATCTTGACATAAAATCACACAAAAAATGATAGTAAATCGATTTTTGTACAGTCCGACCGCCTCCGACCGCCCCCGGAAAAGCAGCTGTGCACATTTCCCGCAATTTTAGTTTGAATATTCAGGATTTTAACTACGGTAGATAGTGCCTTGCTACGCTATTACCAAGCGAGCAGCGGCATTTTAGGCCACTTGGTTTTGTAGGTTGGCAGTCGTGTTTTGGGCTGAGTTTTGTGGTGGTCACTTCTTTTCTCCCTTTTAGTTTCTTTTTTTACAACTATTTTTCTGTATTGCTAACTTCTGTGGGGACTTTCACTGCCTCAATTCCGGTTCTGCACATGTCTTTGGGTGGTCACTTTTGGTAATTCCTATTTCGCAATCCTTGAAGGCGCTCGTATTTTCGATAGTATTTACTCATCATCACCTTTTACTGTTTCATTATTGGAAGTCTGTGATTAATTAAGTAGTTTTCAGTTGGGATCCAGTACCGCTCTGCAGCTATGGGCAAAGAAAAGACGCATATCAACATTGTCGTCATCGGACATGTCGACTCCGGTAAATCGACAACCACTGGACATTTAATTTACAAATGTGGTGGTATCGATAAGCGTACAATCGAGAAATTCGAGAAGGAAGCCCAAGAAATGGGTAAAGGTTCCTTCAAGTACGCTTGGGTACTCGACAAACTGAAGGCCGAACGTGAACGTGGTATCACGATCGATATCGCTCTTTGGAAGTTCGAGACGTCAAAGTTCTACATCACCATCATTGATGCACCAGGACATCGTGATTTCATCAAGAACATGATTACTGGTATGTTTTAACAATCGTTCTGAACTGTCTGGGTAATTAGAGAGGTGGAATAATTTATGAGACTAGGTTATCTATTGTCTACTTCCCAAAGGGAGAGGCAATACTTCAGTTCCCTCATTTTCGTTTTTCTAATCCCAAGAGTTTCTCCCTAGTTAAGTGGATTTGGTTTTAGTTTCGAACCGGATTGAATGAATGATAACTATTTGCCTTTTTAGGTACATCTCAAGCCGATTGCGCAGTACTTGTGGTGGCTTGCGGTACTGGAGAGTTTGAAGCCGGTATCTCCAAGAATGGACAGACTCGTGAGCACGCTCTGCTTGCTCAGACTCTTGGTGTAAAGCAACTCATCGTTGCTTGCAACAAGATGGACTCCACTGAGCCACCGTTCTCTGAAGCTCGTTTCAATGAAATCACCACCGAAGTGTCGAACTTCATCAAGAAAATCGGATACAATCCCAAGGCTGTGGCCTTTGTACCGATTTCTGGATTCAATGGCGATAACATGCTTGAGCCATCCGCAAACATGCCTTGGTTCAAGGGATGGAATGTGGAGCGCAAGGAGGGTAATGCCACTGGTAAAACTCTGCTTGAGGCTCTCGATTCTATTGTGCCACCACAGAGACCTACTGACAGGCCACTCCGTCTACCTCTGCAGGATGTGTACAAGATCGGAGGTAAGTGAACAAATGATATTTATTGACTGAGGAATTTAATTCATGTCGCTTATCAGGTATTGGTACCGTCCCCGTGGGGCGTGTGGAGACCGGAATCATCAAGCCGGGTATGGTTGTCACCTTCGCACCCCAGAACGTCACTACTGAAGTAAAGTCTGTTGAAATGCACCACGAGTCACTGCCTGAGGCCGGACCTGGAGACAACGTTGGTTTCAACGTGAAGAACGTCTCCGTTAAGGATATCCGTCGTGGATCCGTGTGCTCCGACTCGAAGAACGATCCCGCCAAGGAGGCTCGCTCGTTCAATGCTCAGGTATGTCAAAACCTGTTCCATACGGTTGCAGTGATGATGCTTTTATTTTCTTTTCCAGGTTATCATCATGAACCATCCTGGACAGATTGCTGCTGGTTACACTCCTGTGCTTGATTGTCACACCGCACATATTGCATGCAAGTTCAACGAGCTCAAGGAGAAGGTGAGTGATGATTAGACGATTTTGATCTCAAGTCCAGTATCCCCGCGACCTGTATGCAGTAGCTTGACATTTTAGGTCGATCGCCGTACCGGTAAGAAGGTCGAGGATAACCCGAAATTCCTCAAGTCCGGAGATGCCGGAATCGTCGAGCTGATCCCCACAAAGCCACTTTGCGTCGAGTCGTTCACGGACTACGCACCTCTTGGTCGTTTCGCCGTTCGTGACATGAGGCAAACGGTTGCTGTCGGTGTCATCAAGTCTGTCGACAAGACCGAGGCTGCTGGAAAGGTGACGAAGGCAGCACAGAAGGCTGGAGTCGGAGCTAAGAAGAAATAACAAGCACGATTATTTTTGTTTGTTGATTTATAAATTATGTATATTGTTCTTCCGCTTAAACATGTGGTTCTTCGTGGCATTTCTTTGGAGCGTCACAGAAGCATGAAACTGATGCTAAAGTGGCTACTTCGCAAATAAAAACTGTGCAGTACAGAGAAAAACCCGTTATACAGCTTGATGCTGATCAGTGTTGTGCAGAGGAAAGATAGGAAATGGAATGCTCAAGCGAGAGTGGGCATGATAGTTACGCCTCATTAGGATCGTGTCCGTACGCCTTCCCACTCTTCTAAACAAACGAGACCTTTGGATTGCTATAGACATGTCTATCCCTACACACAATGACACTGTGCTGGCAACCCAGGGAAGCCGTTTGCGCGGTTCGTCTAGGTAGCGATTGATTAATATTGATGGGATGCCGGCGTAGGGTGGGAAGATAGCGTTGTTTCTCTCGGTACGACGCGTACACCACACNATTAGGATCGTGTCCGTACGCCTTCCCACTCTTCTAAACAAACGAGACCTTTGGATTGCTATAGACGTGTCTATCCTTACACACAATGACACTGTGCTGGCAACCCAGGGAAGCCGTTTGCGCGGTTCGTCTAGGTAGATTGATTAATATTGATGGGATGCCGGCGTAGGGTGGGAAGAATAGCGTTGTTTCTCTCGGTACGACGCGTACACCACACGCTGGATTACATTCTTCCTGTCCTCTCCCAGAGATGGGATTCAAGGGGGTTTGTTTGGAAGCGGCGTTCAGGGCTTCGGAGCGGTGTTGGTGATAGTAGTAAACCGTCCTTTATATCAAGTGTTATGTCGGTGCCTGCCTCGAAATTCAGAATTATCTAAAGCATTCAGAGAGGCAGGTACAACTTTGGAATGGGTGGGGCATAGGCCAGTTCGAGTCTAACACGTTACCTAAGCGGAAAGCAGGATGTGCATCGAAATGTTTTGAAGGCGTTCGCTTACAGGAAGCTTCATATATGGGGAAGGAATCCGAATTTAAGTTGCGGGTTAATGCTCGAAACGAAGGAGAACCACTTGCTGTAGGCGGACCGTTCCCCAAATGGGTGGCCCACAATTAGCCCGCCATTCCCACCTCGTTACCGTAGAAGTACGTCGCGTATCAACTTCGAATCGAAGTTCTTGTCGGTCGAGTTACTTCAGTTGTTCCCACAATCACTTCACACTGTTTCTGAAATTATCCGATGCTGTAAAATAGCAATAATGCCCAATGTAAGCACTTCCAATGCCGATATGGCACCGATTTCAGTCGGATCATACCAAAAGCTGTAAGAATTCTATCATTTATCGATAAACTTTGTGACAACATAACAAAATGCAAGTAATTACATAAGGCGTTCAGGTAGACCCACACTATGATAACAGATTATCACTTATGAGAGTTAGATAGAGATCAGATAACCGTACTCGACGAAGTTACCGGGCTTGAGTAGGCGATTAGATAAATGGGCCCCATCCAATGTACATTTGAGCAAGATTCTTTTCATCGCTGGCAATGTCGATCAGTTTCGCCACTTGTCCTTCGAGACTCATTGGAGCACATGAGAACTTGTGCTTGTATACCTGAACAGCCAGAATTCCGCAAAACTGCTTCCGATGATAAAAACCTTCAAATGAATAGTTGTAACTAGTTCAGTGTGACTGTAGTGTAGTGTCTATACGCGATGCATTGGACTTGCAGAGAACCATAGATTGAATCCAAACCAAGTTAGTTCAGACTTCCATTCCGATCGGACCTGTCTATTTAGTTAAAGTTTCAAGTTTTTGGCGTTAATCAATCCCTTTCGAAGGATGCGCCCCCGCACTCGACTCCCATTCAGAATCGTAGTGGCGTAATGAGTAATATGCCTATACAATGAATAGCGGTGGCCAGCTGATGTACAAGTCAGTGCTTTTATCCTCCCACACGAGTCTGGTACCAATTGTTCTATAAGTTGAAGCTCATGTACGTTTTTGAAAACTAAATGTAGACCGCTCCCTCCCCATTCCGCCGGGTTTCAAGTACCCAGATGTGTCGAAGTATCTAGTCATCAACAAAAAACTACGCAGTTCCTGTGGGAACTATGAATGACTGTTCTTGAAAATTTCAGCAACAGTGGTACCAGGTGCAGCCCACATGTATTAAGTACAAGTGCCTTGTAATAATTATTTTACTTGAAGCGGTTCCTCAAACAGCCCAACGTCATATTCAGGGCTGTAGCCCAATGAGATCTCACTTCAAGAGCTTCACCAAGCCGCCGAGACGAGTTTCCCAATGGTGGGAAACTCGTCCCGGTGGCTCGGCCCGGCCTTCGTCACTGGGGTACGTGCTTGTGGTCCGATCAGTTGCAAAGGCATCCTCCCTTTGAGTTGTAACTTTTGCACCCCAGCGACAAACACGACTAGATCGCCGCGCAGCTTGCCGACTGANGAGACGATGAAAGTACACCCTTTGATAGGACAGGAATCACTTCAATGAGTATTAGTTAGCAAGAACTGCTAACTTATAATACTGACCGCTGAAGTGGGCTGAGAGATCAAGTAATCAGATAAAAGAGTCGATAAAGCGACCACAGACGGATCGAAGGAACGCCTTGTTGAGGAACTACGAGCGACATTCCTAAATTTCCAAAACTGACCTCCGGTGAGACGATATGACCTTCAAGACGTTTCAGGATCAGTTGTACGCTTTCCGTAGATGGCGCATGAAGTTTCAGATGACCACGCTGAAGAATAGCTTTACATTTTCCACACAATGGCACTATTATTATCCTCCATACTTTCTTCCTATCGTAACATTCGTAAAAAAAAAGCTGTGATGAGGAATAGCATATCGATTGCGCAGTGATTACGCGCGTAACAAACAAGCGCAATCGATGTGACTATCATCACAACTGATTTCAGCAACTTGTGAGACAACGCCCAATTACGCCCCAAGGTGATACCGATTTTTCCAATAGAAATGACTTACGCCTCTGTTCTGCTGCGCACGTGCCTCAGTATTTATCCACTCCAATAACGGATCGTGAACAAATGTTTGAATAACCTGAAAGGAATAATTGCAGAAAAGCTGAGCAAGAGCAATATCTGTCAAATTCGTGTTAGTAAACTTACTGTGAGTAATGTGTCTTTATTATCTCTCATCACTCGCAACGTCGCTTCACAGGACCTTCTAAAAGAGCCTTCAACACCCGTTGGACCGAATCCATTTACCATATTCCGTGTCAATCGAAAAGGTACAACCTAAAGCATACATGGGTAAGGTCGATCCCCGCTCAAATGCCGCTAAGTGTGTCTGTTGGTTTGTGGGTTGTTTGTTAGTTTGTATGTCGGCACGTCGGTGTGTATGTTTGAACTGAATCTGACTCTAATAGCTGTGGAAAAGAGCTGTAAGAGGAGAGATATAGAATGAATGTTGTGCTATACACAGTGAACGTTTACAAAACTAGCAAGTAGAGCCATAGGGTAAGCGTCAATCACAACGTCGACTCGTTAGTAATTAGTTTAAATGTACGCGCAGCAAAGAATTGCATCGGCCGGGAATCGAACCCGGGCCGCCCGCGTGGCAGGCGAGCATTCTACCACTGAACCACCGATGCTTGATATCGACGGGAACGCCCTTCTAGACTGTCAAAGGGGAAAAGGTCAAACGAATTAATGACTC